TTAAAGTAATTTTCCTTCTTCTCGACTTGACTAAGTAAAAAATACATGATTAAACCACAACATAAAAACAAACTGAATGTATGTACTGTATGTTGTGTCTGATCAGTGTATATCTTGTTTTGACTCTCGCTTGTGTTCCTGTATCCAGGTGGTAGTTCCTACTCGGGTTGGACAGGTGTATGTATATGACACTGTGAAATCAGACCAGGACGAGTATGATGTCCCACCCAGACATTCGCCTTCCATACAGCAGGACATATATGATGTTCCACCCACCCGCCAGCATTCCAACACACAGGTCAGTGTGTGTGTATGTGTGACAAGGAGAGTGTGTCCATCCACCACACAATAGATGCGGCTGTATCAGTCACATATCTATTCTATAACATTACACAAGGTTGATTGGCTTGCACAGTAATAATGGATTCATGATGACTTTGTTGTGAAAAACAGCGTCTTTCTTAATTCTTATCTTTTAAACCCCAAATTCTGTTTTATCGATACTGAGTGTAAAACATTAAAAACAACACTCCCCACAATAGCCAACTTGTTTTTAACATTTATTAACATAGTTGAAATCTCTGTTTCAGGTCTGCATCACGTTTATATACATTTACTTGGTTTGTGGCATTACAACATTAGTAATTGGAAGGCCACTCAGAGTGTATTCCTCTGCCAAGGCTTATGCCCTATCCTTTCATGTTAAAAAAAAAGTGAAAAGACATTCCTCAATCTGCACATCTGGATCATCTCCAAAATGCAATGGGCTTTCTCATGTGTCATGTCTATGGGCTGTGGCTGAGGGGTAGAGTGGTCGTCCTTCAACCATACAAATACAAACCATTTACCATTTAACCAATCTCACGCCTCCAAAAAAAGCAAAAAATAGTGATGCAGTGAGTCATACTGCAACATATATGATAGGTCTCAAGAATTCCCACTATAAATAATTTCTAATATATGTGTTTAAGTTATACATTGTGCCTATATTTGTAATTTGTATTTTCCTTATGTACCATGTTTGGATGAAACTATGTTATGTGTTGTGTATGTGTACATTTTGACAATGACAATTTAACTTTTAAGGCTGGAATGATTAAGGAAAATATCTCTTTGTGTTTTGAGTGTTATGAGAACTGAGTCAGAGCAATCGTAAAAACATGTAATCATGATATTGGTTATAATTAGTAGCAATAAAGGAGCTGCAGCAATGTTGGTGATCTTGATTTGATGTGAAGGTCTGATGTTGGTTAAAATGTTTGATTGCTTGTGTTCTGTATACAGATTTATCAGCAGTGGGTCATATCAGAACATTGAATTATCATCCATTAAAGTGCACAACTCAATACAAAATCAATATCTGATATAATATTCAACCTCACCCTCTCTGAATATTATTTTAATTTTCCAATACTAACAGGTGGGAAAGAAACACCACATGCACTCACACATACATACATACATACACACAAACATACGCATGCAGAGAAATTGCATGGAATCTTTGATGCTGACAAGCCACAGAAATGTCACTCACATACTATTGCAATTTGAGAGCGAGAACTGCAGCAGGAGGAAGGGTAAAGGAAGTGGCACACCATTTTGATATTTAACAGCAGTAAAGAAATACCCTAAAAGTCTTTCTTTTAGCCTGAAATTTGATGACTTTTCCTAATGTCTCAAAATACACAAAGATGAAATGAAATTAACTTTTTGTACATTGAGGTTGTTCAAGGTCAAATTGACCTTTATCTATTGAAATGGATTTTAGACCAATAAGTATGGGTCAAATCAAGGAAATGGTGGTTTTAGGGATTCTTTAAACTGTGAAATTGCACATGCCACATCACTATCATGAGAACTGTTTGTGTTCCCACCACATTTGCCCAGGTTCCCACAGAGACAGACATCTACTGGTCTTTGAAGGGTCATGGGGGAATCTCTAAACAGAGAAAGAGTAAAACAGCATAGGAGTGATTTTATATATGGTGCACACAAAGAAGAGGTGTCATACAGAGGTCAGAGGAGACACAGACATGAGACCTGCACCTGCTTGCATATGCAATCTGACAAAATAATCTAAAGATAAACAAATTAGAATGAATTTATTCTGAGCTAACTGAAATCAATACAGGGATCAAAAGAGGGGTTGTGGGGTCATATGATTATAAAGGTAATTGAGCTGCCATTTCAGTGACTGAGTTTATGGCAGCTAGGCATACTGTGTAAAAGAGGCCCTTGATCTGATCTTCCATAGATAGTAGATGTTTTTCTCAAAAAATGATTGGTGTAAAACCTAAAAAATGCACTCTCCCTGCATTCTGAAACATTGATACATACTAAATTGATTCTGTAGTTCAATACTCGGTATAGTGACTAATTATGAGGGAATTCTTGGCCCAGGTCAAATTGACACAGACCATACTGTGAAGGCATGTAAGGGTTAATGGGGTGGAATTGTTCCAAACCATACACTCATTCCATTAACACCTATTCAAATACCTTTGTGTGTTTTTAATTTCTCATTACTCTTGTGTAACCCTAACTCATATCACTTCAGTTCAGAACAGCCACATAGGAGGTCCTCAGCTGGGTGGTCGTTTATGTCAGCATCTGCTTGGCCTCGCCATTTTTTATGTGATTTGAATCTCAGAGTGTCCAGAGTGTCTTCTGCAATTGAGGCAACTGAGTGTGTCATCTGTTTATGTGATGGTGCCTTTATCATGCTCATTAACATGACATAACATAATACCATTTACAAATAGTTCATATATTGTGTGTCTGGATGTGGTATGTGTCCCACAGTTTGAGAATTCACATATGTGGTGATTGGCACAGTGTGTGATGATGTGACTGTAGAGACTCATACAGTTTAAAGAGGAAGATTGTAACACACTTATTTACCGTAACTACAATTTGCAGGTGTCTCTGGACAATTTGCACTGTTGGACTTCTCAATTGTTTAGAGCCTGCCTCAGCCTGTCAGACTGATATTTTCTCCATTAGTAGTTTTGTCATTGTCAAGTGTCCAGGCTACAGTTATTACAGTGTGTCAGTGTTCCCACGGAGAGTGTATCTTAAAAAGATCTCAGGAGTGCAGCTGCTCTGAGATGCTTGAAATAATCACCACATCTGGCACTGCAAGCTACACTGAGTCATTTATCTCTCCCATCTTGTCTGTTATCTACACTGTAGTCAGGTGTAATACTGAACACTTAATGCTCGGGCTTTATGGAATAGCTGGCTGTTGCAATGATTTGTGTATATAACAACATGTTATTAATGTCTGTCTTGTCCTTTGTTTTAGGTGTATGACACTCCTCCCATGGTGGTTATGGGGACCTCTGGTGGTCATGGAATATATGACACCCCAGCAAGTACAGAAAAGAACACACAGCAGACAGTAAGGCTTTGCAATGGAGAGTTGTTATGAATGTATGTATGTCACAGATATATGGTATGGCAATCTTGTTACGGCAGCATGTCAGAGTTTCAGTTATAAAATGAAAAAGTCTGCATTTATCTCTTACAAACTCAGTATTGTCAGACTTAGAGCCCATGTTTCACTGCTTGGTTAACACAGCCTACATTCAATACGAACTGACTTAATTTCTCATAAAGGACTTGAAGGATGCTGCTCTTGCCAAAGGAAAAAAGTGGTCTAAAAACCCCATCACATAAATCAAATTAGATCAGTTCACAGTAGTGTTAGCAGCTCTGTGGTGAGATTGAACGGTGTATTGTCTACACCTAATTAGCATGCCAGCATTTGCTAACCATCTCTCAACACAAAATTCATGTTTGTAGAGTGGCTGTGGCTGAGGGTTCGATCCTCAGTCTTCCCCCATCTGCATGCCAAAGTGTCCTTCAGCAAAATACTAAACCCCTAAATAGCCCCTCATAAAATTGATTTTATGCACTAAGTTGTTTTAAGTTGTTTTGGATAAAAGCATCCATCAAATAATCTGTTATGTAGGCATTAGTTTGTAAGTATGTACATTTAAATTTTAGCCTGATAATGGAGCTTGAGGTCAATGGTATCAGTACAAACCTTTCAAATATCACAATCCAAAGTCATTCCACATCAATGTAAGCATCAGACATAGGAGACCTTAAAGAACATTTTTCACACATTTTCTCTGTTAAATCTGTAAAGCAGCCGTGTGGACCTTGAAAGGCATTATTAGCAGTTATGGTATTAGTAGTAGTAGTTGTATTAATTTGTGTATAATAGTAATATGATAATGGCTTGCTTTATATAGCTCCTTTCACAGGACCCAAACGTTGTTTACATATGTCTGACAAAACAGAAGAGAAAAGGAAATAGTACAAATGAAGATAGACGTAAACAGCAACGTGGAGCATTTACTGAGGCCAAAAGCCTTAGTTAAGAGGTGTTTTTTGAGGAGTGTTTTGAAGATGTTGAGTGATTCTGAGTTGCGTATTTCTGCGACACAGAAGGCTCTGTATCCAAAAGTTCACAGTTTGGTGTTGAACCAGGCTCAGTGTGGGAGGTCGTCTGCCTCAACCGTTTGGGGTGAGCAAAGGAAAAGAGGGGAGAGACGAGAGAAAGATAGTGGGGCGGGGTAGGAGGGGGAAAGGCGAGAGAGACTGGGAACACTTGAGCACCATCAGGTATCAGATCTGACAAGTTAAAATGTTAACAATAACAGAGTAAAGACTTATTGATTATTATTGATAACAGTTACAATTCATATAATTAATTACTGAAGTATTGTTGTTAATAATAGTAATAAGAGTAATAGTTGTCCTGGAGTTCGGGGGTCAGAGATATCTGAAATGAGAGAGAGAAAGAGAGAGAGGGACTATAGAAGGAAAAAGTAGTAATTATTGACATGTATTAAAATAAATAAATTAATGTGGGGGGGCAGAGAGAAGTGGAGAAGTGCTCAATGCATGATGGGAGTTCCCCCAGCAGTCTAGACCTATAGCAGCATAACTAAGGGATTGTTCAGAACTCACCTGACCCAGAACTAACTATAGGCTTTATCAAAAAGGAAAGTTTTAAGCTTAACGTTAAATGCAGAGATGGTGTCTGCCTCCTGAACCCAGAGTGGGAGCTGGTTCCACAGGAGAGGAGCCTGGTAGCTGAATGCTCTACCTCCTGTTCTACTCTTACAGACTCCGTAAGAGAGCCTGTGTTTTGTGAATGAAGTGATCTATTTGGATAATACAGTGTTATGAGCTCTTTGATAAGGGGCTTGATTGTTAAGGGCTTTATATGTGAGGAGCAGGATCTTGAATTCTATTCTGA